GGAAGCGTCTAAAATACCTAAACAAGTTTCGTAGATTTAAAAATGATATAACAAAATCACATATTATTCAGCCATATGGTAAGTAACGTCTGTATGCGTAACTCTGTCTGCTGACTTAATCCTTTTTTTTTTTTTAACTTTCTTTAGTATATAAACATAATCCTGTTGTCAGAGCATGGTAGTTATTCTAGACTAAATAACTACGCTAGCCTTTCACTTAATTGTCATGTCTGCGATGACCTGTGTATTATATAATATATTCTCATGACAGTATACACAACTGAGACACTGGTCCTGTTTGCATGCTGTGCTAATTTCGTCTTACTGTGCATCACCTATGAATAAACAACTGCTTTTTTGTCTAAACAAACGTATTCTATATTATCATCTTTAATTACATTATCATATATTTCCTGAACATCCTAAAACGCGTTATGTTTTATCCGTTTATTTTACAGCCTTCTACTTACAGTCACTCGCACACACTAATACACGCAAATGCACATGCACACTGGAAGTTGTAAATTCTCTTCAGACAGCTAACATAAACAAACTCATTTTTGTGATTATCATCTGATTCTCAATATGTTTACCGAGAGTGTCTCGTCCTTGCTGTGTGAAGATTGTATCTGACATGATGTTATCTCTTGACTTTATGCACTTCATTATACACAATTTCAAAGTGTTTTTATATAAACTATACCATTCTATATTCTTCAGTTATAGTGAACCATAATTTCAACTCGAATTCTGAATACACAGAAAGAAATTACCTAGTACTTAAAAGCATCAAATGTATTTCTTTAATTCATATATATTTTCCCCAAAAAACAACTGTAGCCTCAAAACAAGCTAATATTAGTCCTACGTATCTTCATATACTGTACATGCATCTTCAAGACCTAGCTTCGTAGACACGCTCCATCTAATCTTACAGACTTTAATGACATCATCTCCAGAAGTGACGTCACACCCACATGCTTTGGGAATCAGTGCGAGCCGAGCCGAGTTTACCTACTGCACCACTCCCAATAGTGTTTGTCGTCACATCAGGTCTATTACACTGTTTGCAGACAATTGGCAAAGATTGAAAGAAATTGATACTGATATATCTGACCTTTAAGACAGTTGTGGCTTTCCAACACGTCTTGTGTATATCAACACAGACGTTGGCAAGGAAGAGGGAAGACGGAATATCGAAAATAGAAGAGAGGGAAAGAGCGAGACAGAGAAAGAATACAAGAGACAGTATTGCAAATATCCGTAGAGTATTTTAAACAGCATCTAATTGCACTGCAGGCTGATTCCTTTTCTAAAAGATATGGACTAAGGTTATAAAACTTATACTACCATGACACTAATATGAAACTTTCGAAGATGTGTTTCAGGTTGAGAAAAATTGTCCAGAAAAGACGTTCTATCTGTCATATTAAATATATTAAAAAATGGTTGGTTGATCATAACATTACGTGGTGGTTCAACATTGGTAGAATTTTATGCATTCTATATTCCCAACGAAGAAGGAAATAATGATTAAAATTACATACTCCAAAGATAAAAATGGACACCTAAAGACATCATGTTATCAGAAATTGTAAATGCTGAATACTCATTAAAGTTTCAAAAGTTTGTTACCAACTTTACACAGGCGTTAAATCCTGAATAATAAAAAAAAACATTGCATTTTTTAATCCTTTAAAAAATCAGTGTCAACTTCACTAAGCTACACTAACTCACTAGAATCTGAAGCTCCTTATACAAACAATAAAAAAGCTCTCCAAAAATTCACATTCTTTCATAGGATGGCGTCAAGCTGTCCCAGTGTAGACCACAAGCCTGTAGATTTTACTGTGGAACATGGTACCACAGACGTGTTTCAATGGAAGAGAGGAGGGGGGGGGAGGGAGGAGGAGTTAGTGCTTTGAACATCTGTAACGATCTACAAAAAGGATAATTAACGTCCTTCGGTCATTAAAGGACGATACAGGTGCTACGAGAGGTAAGTATAAATGCCTTAGTGAATGAGGTTACTGTGCATACATGTACATAGCCATTATTCTGAACTTTCACTTGACACATATTAAAAAAAAGCCATGTTGCTTAGATCACAGGCAGCATCACTGTAGCAAAGATTATAAAGTGCTAGAGAAAATAAAATGAGAAAAGTCACATCCATCAGACTTTCGAAATTATTTTCCCTATAAAATAGATCCTAATCAATAGAACACTGCACTATTATGGTATCATTTATTCCCTTTTCAGGTGAAAAAAAAGATTTTAATGAAAGTCTTCGTAATCAACTTATCATCAAGTCACTGCTCAGAAAAAAGGGCTCAAAGTTACAAGTAGATGCCACACTTAAGTCTGTTGGGTGACATTATAATATAATCTCTTATAAGTAAGGCAGGCTGTGGTAATGTTCTCATAACATGTTCATTAACATACACAGAAAGTGAGGTTCATTATAGGTCTGTTTGCAAATCATTTTCACATTAATGAAAACCATTCATTAAACTGTTTTATCATCCGGTTATTAATAGTCATCAGATTGAATAAGATTGGGCAACATGGAATATTTTTTTACTGCTCTGATGTATACATTTGACGCAGGAAAGACAATCGGTAAGGCTATAAATGTTGAATGTATTGCCTGATGTCCGCTTCATAAATTTATACGGAACAGTGAGCGCAGCTTCCTCAAATCACCGATACATGAACAATTACATTCCAGATGGATTTAGATTTTTCCTTCGATTTCAAATGATAAAAGTTACGAATGATGTAAACTTTCAAATCACATGAGAGAAAAAGGAAATTTGTCAATAAATACACAGCCCATAAATACATGACGAGTGTATGATGAACATTACCACATCTGCTTCTGAACAAAAACATGTATTCCACCATCTGTTGTGGTGTAGGTTAAACACTGAACAGGCTGAGAATGATTTTTATTTCTATTTATTCCCCTCACAAATATCTCACTAATAAAGCTCTATTTTTTTAAAAGTTACAGAATCACATCAGATTTCGCTGTGTCAGTCTACACTCTTGTCTAAAATATCCTATTATCCCTGCATTACCCATCTTCTCAGTCGACTCAGTGTCTAACCTAGCATTTTAAGACTCTATGGCTGACACTAACATCAATTATTCCAAAACAAAAAGAAAAAAGTGAAACAAAAAGGAACAGCCTGATTCCGTGTTCCCCAAACGGCACTTCTCGCTCGTTTCCTCCGAGTGTTGTTCGAATACCCTGATCGTTTCCAGGTTTTTTTTTATATATATATTTCTTTTCCTAGTTTAAAAAAAGGAAGCCTCAAAGTGTTGAATTAACCTACTAATACCTATTCAGCATCGAAAGGTTCTTTTTTTTTACTTTCTGTGGAGACATTCGCACGACCTTATTTAAAAAAAGAAAGACAAAAAAGAAAAAAAAAATGGTCTGCCAGATAGCTAATAGATAAGCCGGCAGCCTATGGATAGTTATTTTGTCGTTTATATATTTTCAATATTTAGCTAATAATAATAATAATAATAATAATAATAATAATAATAATAATAATAATAATAATAATAATAATAATAACGAAATCAACTAAACATCACGCAAATAAATGTACATTTGCATTACACAAAATTTACTCCTTTTCTTGATATAAAATCTAATAATCAAAATTATATAAAAAAAATCAAATCCACAAAATAGGATTAAGCTCCAAGAAACTATCACAAGAAACATTCTTTTCTTACTCTCTTAAAGAACAAGTTTAAATCCGTTTATTCTATTCTTTTACTCTCTTAAAGAACAACTTTAATATTATTTTATCTTATTCTTTATTCTCTAAAGAACATCTCCACTGAACTACTGTATCACTAATGTTTGGAAAGACTACCTGTAAAAATGTTAAAGCACTAGCCATTAACTCAGTATAATTGGTCTCTGAAGCCACTGAAATACGCGCTCTTCACTTGATTTCTATTCGTTATAGGAAGGAAGCATTTACCCGAAGAAAGTCGTAAATGATCTTTGCTTACGTATAAAACATAATGTACAAAGCCTCGTTCTAGATATATATATTGTTTGTGTGTGTGTGTTTGTGTGTTTGTTGTGTGTGTTTGGTGTGTGTGTGTGTGTGTGTGTGTGTGTGTGTGTGTGTGTGTGTGTGTGTGTGTGTGTGTGTGTGTGTGTGTGTGTGTGTGTGTGTGTGTGTGTGTGACTCACACCACTTCACTTTTTTTCCCCTTAGCCTCATATGTTCACACAAAAAGCACAAAAGTATACATACATATATATATTCCCTTTGTTTTCCGCCAAGATTCCCGTTTTGGCATCTTCCACTATGACTCCCCGTGACTGCTAAGACTCAGACTGTCAGTACGTTTATGCTCAGAAATCACATACCTAATTATTGCTCTTAATGGCTATTATCCTTAGCATTTTTTTTTCTCTCTTTATCACAATAGTTCTGAAAGACATGGACAACAGAAAGAAAAAAATATATATACGAAAGAGGGAAGTCGAGAAAACGTGACAACGAAGGCTGTATGAACACTGAACACCTTAAAACGTTATGTAAATTGAACACTGTGACATCAACGAAACGCCTTTCTCTTACCCTTTTCTTGCGAAGGAAAAGACGTGTGCTACGGTTTGGTCAAATCGAGAATGTGAAAAGGCCTTCCAAAAGCGTGTGAATTTCGTTTACCTTGTCGACTCTTTCGGTTAAGGGAGAGGAAAGTATATATATAAATTAAAGCTTCATATCTATGTAGCACTAAACTGATTCTTTCATATATATATATATATATATATATATATATATATATATATATATATATATATATATATATATATATATAATACATATATATATATATATATATATATATATATATATATATATATATGATATAGATCAGACCGTCATGAAAATTTCGTCACTCGCTAACCGAAACGGGACTACTGGGAGCGCGGCGACGGGGGGCGGCGGCGAGCCCCCTCGCACGCTGGCCGACGCCGGTGTGGGTGTCACGTCCCTTGGCCGGGGTCGGACCAGCGGCGCTTGCGAACCGAGTCCTTCTCCTCCTTCTGCGCCTCGTCGCTGGAATGTTGGCGCTCCGTGGTCCTCAGCGCCGCCGGCTTGGTCCACACGCTCGAGCCCGACGCGCCCCCGAGGAACGGCAGCGAGGCGCTCCCCTTCTTCGCTCGCGGGAGCCCCTGGCCGCCGCCGCCGCCGCTGCGGAGGCGTCGGAGGGGGACACGCGCGGAGGGGAGGCGGAGGTCGGGGTGGGCGTCGTGGCGGCGGTGGAAGTGGAGACTGAGGTGGATGTGGAGGGGGAGGTGGAGGTGGAGGGGGAGGTAGGTGCTGGGTTGGCGGTTGAGTCGGCACACGTCGATGGCACTTGGTTCGCGGCGGCGGAGGAGGGGGAGCCGCTGATGGAGACGGCGGAGGAGGAGGAGGAGGCAGAGGCGGCGGAGGACGTCGGAGGCGGCGGTGGCAGGGAGGCGGCCGAGTCGGGGGCGGCTGCAGGAGGCTCCTTCTTGGTGAGCGACACGCACACGTCGCCGACCTGCAGCTGCCGCACCTTCAGCTCGTACTTCTTCTGCGTGCGTTCGGGGCAGCAGGAGGACCAGCCGCAGTGGAACACGAAGAACGGGTGGTCCAGGGACGCCTCGACGGAGACCTGAGGGGAAGGGAAGCTCTTAGTACAAGGCACATCAGGGGGCGACCAACATTTATATATGGCTTTCACAACACACAGGATAACATGAAAATAAATCCCTGCTTCGTTAAACTCAGTTGGTTTCCAAATTCAAGCTATTTGCGTCATTCTTATGAAAATAAGTAGAGTTTAGGATTAGCCATTTGCACCCATTATCTTTACTAAGAAGTGCTTAAAATCATGCAGACGCCTAGGTGTTGTGGGATATTTGCCAATTTATGGTAACTAAGACTTACGGTAACGTCTAAACATATTCATTTTTATCGGGAAGAAATATATCAAATTCTCTTCAAAATAAAAAAGATTCCACAGGAAAGCTGCTCATGATTTTCTTTAAGATGAAAAGGCGCTGATCTGTCTTCAGGGGACGATTTTGTTTCTCTATTTCCATTTTCCTTTTCCTCGTTTTCTTTCTATCATTCTTCTTCAGCTTATTATTATTATTATTATTATTATTATTATTATTATTATTATTATTATTATTATTATTATTATTATTATTATTATTATTATTATCATCATCATCATCATTATTATTATTATGAATCATTGAATGAACGATACTGGACTAAAAACAATAATTACAAACAGAAAAAATCATATCATCATTATCACCATTTCCTTAAAAAACAGAAACCAAAGTAAAGTTTTTAAAAAAATCATACAAATCCTTAACAAAAAAAGACCTTAATTTCCTACAGACACGAAGCTAGACCTAAATACAACGTAACGACGAGACGGACACGTAATTGGGGTTAAGTGGCCAGTTAGTGCAAGATATAAATAGCCTTTAGAAGAGTATGACGAACTCGAGGCTCATCTTGAAGGTGGTGAGGGAGAGAAATTAGAATAAATATCGAGATGAGACTTGGGTGATTATTCTGTTAATGGTGATTAGGGTTTAATGATGATAATGGTGGTGATGATGATAACTAATGATTGAGATGTTTTGTGAGGTGGTGGTGGTAGGGGTGATTATACATTATTATATTATATTATACATAATTCAAGGAGGAGGTGATGGTGGTGGTGATGGTGATGATAGTGATGATAACGACGATCATCATCATCATCACCGTTCATCACATCACATCATTATCAGTTACTTTATCATCATTTTCCATATCTATATTTCACAATTATCACTATCATCTCAAACAAACACTATCATCACTTTCACCATCTCCCTCCCTCATCATCAAAAATAATGCAAAACAAATAATTCAGCTCATAAATTCCTTAATATACTTTTTTAATCCACTTCAAAAACCACTCCACACACACTAATATGATTCAACACCAATATTTTTCCCCCTCTCCCCCACCCTCTCTCTCTTTCTCTCTGTCTGTCTGTCTGTCTTCTCTCTCTCTCTCTCTCTCTCTCTCTCTCTCTCTCTTCTCTCTCTCTCTCTCTCTTCTCTCTCTCTCTCTTTTCTCTGTCTGTCTGGCTCTCTTTTTCTCCTCCGTCTTCTTCTTCATACCCTCCTATTATCACACATCTTTCATTCTACTCTTCCTACAAAACACCACCAGACCATCTTCCACGGTAGCAACGTAGCGTGCAACAGCTGCAACCTATGGATAAACACGTCCATGTTTGTCCAAGATAAGACACATCACGGGATGCACTGATCTGCAACGGCAAGTCGTGGTCGGGCGAGAGAGAATGAGGGAGGGATGGAGGGAAGGAGGGAGGGAGGGAGACAAGGGGAGGAGGAGGGGAGGAGGGTGGGTGGGTTGCTAGGCATTGGGTGGGTGAGGGAGAGAGTAGAGGAGGAGGGTGCGAGAGAGTGAGGAAGGGTGGGAAGGAGGTAGGTGGGTGGGAGGGGAGGGAGGGAAGGAGGGTGGGAGGGAGATAGGGAGGGAGAGAGGAGGAGGCGAGAAGGAGGAGGCAGGAAAGAAGGAGGAGGGTGAGAGAAGTAGGAAGGTGGGAGAGAGGGAGGGAGAGTGGGAAAGAGAGAGAGAGAGAGAGAGAGAGAGAGAGAGAGAGAGAGAGAGAGAGAGAGAGAGAGAGAGAGAGAGAGAGAGAGAGAGAGGGAGGGGGAGAAAGAAAGAGGTGGGGGAGGGAGGGAGAGGAAGAGAGAGACAGAGAAAGAGAAATTGAGAGAAGGAAAAGTCTGTAGACAAAATTATTCAGTAGTAATGAAATAACAAAATAATAATAAGACGAACAGTTGTGATGAAGTATAACAAGCATAAATGGATAATTGGCTGATAATAAGCAAAATACATAATAGCTAACAAGCAACAAGATACTACATAATAAACAGTATTACACTGAATCGTAAGTCGTGAGAAAAGAAAAAAAGAAAAAAAGAAAAGAAGAAGAAAAGAAAGAAAGAAAGAAAAAACATCCATATACAACGTAACTTCCCATCGCAAAAGTGACGTAGAATAAAATGAAAACTATTCGCATACGAGGGGGAGAGGGGAGGGGGGGGCGTACAAGTAGCCTAATATG